GTGGTCCAATCCCAGCAGCAGGAGCAGCAAAAATCACCGGAAAAAAAGTTGCAGCAACTTGTCAGCGAGGAACTGAAAACACTTCGCGCAATCACTTCAAACGCTGCCTTTGAGTGACCAAATTTGGTTTTGTCGTATAAAAACTTGTCAATTTTAATGATTTCGCTGACGCTTCGAACTGTCATAAGTGCGCCCGCAGGCATTTCTGGGCAGGATTCGCGCATCCTTTTTGGCTGGCCATGTGGAATTGGGGTGTTCGCTCATTAGCCAAAAGTCGGCGAAGAAGCCAAACTGTCAACCAGACTTGACTGACTGGCTGACAGGCTGCCGTAGCATTTGCATAAGTTGCAGTTGCAGTTGCAGTCGAAGTTAAAGGTAAAGTTTAAGTTGGCATTGCGTGGCCAGGATTCCAGTTCAATGCACGCGCCTTTTTGTGCCGCTGCAGCCGCATTATTAGCATTTCTGTATATTTTTTATTTGTGTAATTTTTTGTTTCTTTTTCGTCGCTCACCCACCACCAGCAACTGCAAATGGCCACAAAAATGGCGCACTTCAGACCCAGCCCAACTTGCAACTCCCATTGCCGCGCTTGTTGTTGTCAACGTGTTTTCCCATTTCCCTGCCTTTATTTTGTTGTATTTTGTGGCAACCACATTGTGGCACGTATGCAAAAGCTGGGCCAGGCCACGTAATTCACACGTTGGCCCAAACAAGCTGGTTAACTGGTTAGCTCTCATTGTTTTTCCTCTTTGGAACTCCTCGTTTTTTTTTTGAGGGAGCGGAATTCCCGTCTCATCGCAGCAGCTTTGGCCTGGTAATACGTCAATTATAAAGCAATTAATAAGCCAGAGAATTCCTACAAAGAAATGAAAAAGATGTGTAATAAAAACATATATTTTCCAGGGCGGTGCGTTGTGCAACGGCATAACTTACAAGTCGCTGCTGCTGCTGCTGCTGCTGCTGCTGCTACTTGAGTTATTAAACGCATTATCATAAATGCAATTGACAACTTATGACTAATGATAAGCTGGCATGCAACGCTGATCCGGGGGCTGCAAATAAAGTGTTAATAATATAGATGGCAGCGGCGGTGCAGTTTGCGCTTAATAATGCAGCCTGCCTCTGTCAGTCACTCACTCACTCACTGGGCCATGCCGTCAGTTCGTCAGTCAGTCCGTCCGTCAGTCAGTCTGTCAGTCTATCAAGCAGTTAGCCAGTCCTGCGGGCAATCTCGCAGTCAGTCAGTCGGAGTCACGCAACTGCAGAAAGCAAAGAAATAATTAAAACAAACAAGCGCGCAAAATGCTAAGCAGTCGAGAGACCCAAGTTTCTGCTTCAATTTTGAGCTTCAGCTACTGTTGGAGGTGCACTGAAAGAAGAGTCCCAGATATATGACAGGAAAAAGAAAAACTAGTTTAAAAATCGACTTTGCTAGATGTGGGCTTAGGTATTTCTAGTGGCTAAGCCATTGTCATCGAACGGCTACTTAGGTGACTTGCTGAGCTGAATTTTCATCAAGAAACATTGTGCACAGTTACCATTTATTTTCCCCGTGCACATCTATAACTATAAAGGTGTCTTCGAGCAGCCAAAACTGACCTACCTGCCGAGCTCTCGATCTCGCTGCTGCTGCTGCTGCTGGTGGTGGCTGAAACTGGAATCCGTTATAGTTTATGGCCCGTTGTTGGTTGCTGCTTAGTTGCTGCTGCCACCGCTGCATGCTTAAACAATTTCCAATTTTGGAGCAGGTGTAACAGCGCCGCCGAGAGACACTTGACCGCATTTTGGAGCCACGCGCCTACAACAGCAACATCAAATCGCCCGTCGAGCAGGTGAAAAGAAAAGTCCTTGTTTCTCGAGGGTAGCTCTGGCTATAAATTAAGCCACCGCCTGCAGACATTGTGCCATCGAGGGGTCACGAAGGAGGGCTCCTTGCGAGCGGCAGGATTGCCTCGTCCTGCCGCTCGCATGATTGATTGTGGCTGCTCCTTGCTGGCAGGAAGCAGCTGAATCAGCTGAATCAGCTGAATCAGCCGAATCAGCCGAATCGTAGGAATAATCGAGTGTAATCCACTGACAACTCACACAAGTTGCACGGCAAACGGTTACAGAGTCTCGTTTCACTCATTTGCGGATTTGATTTCCATCGATTGATAAGAACGCCCAGCATCTCGCACCCCTAATCCAATCGCATCCAATCCTTTTCTGCCGGCACTGGTGTGAATTTAATTTACCAAAGAGACAGAGAACGGAAAATCCTTTTTTGGCCTTATCTAGATGGGCCTGCCGGCACCACCCTGCTTTGCTTTGTTGTGCTCTCACACTGAAATTTAAATGATGCGATGGCCGAAATGATAACTTGGCCGGCAGCTGATGCATTTTACTAATTGAAGCCATTTCATCTCTCTGGTTTTCTCTTTGGCTTTCTGGTCTTCAGGCTTCACCTGTTTGGCTGTCATCTTCAAATGTCCAACACGTCCGGCTAAGTGCACACGAACCAGCCTACGTATATATATATGTATCCGTATATATGTATCTGCACACTCAGATACATTAATTATGTCATTCACGTCGTCGTCAAGCGTCAGCTTCGATTGCAATTAAAAGGCGCTTTAAGCCGGGATTTCGGTTGCGGCATACGGTTTTCGGATCTTGGCTTAGATGGACAGGCGCTGAGAGCGTTGAGCGCTGTCAAACGCTTTTAAAACGCCACAGAAGTGTCCAAGAGAGAGAGAGAGAGAGAGAGGCGAGCGGGCCAAAAGAGAGCGGCGGCTTTAAAGGCTTTGATCTGTCAGTTTGAAGAAATCAAGCGCAGGCCAAAAGCTTCAAAATGTTGTTTTTTAACCGCTTTTGTGGCTCTTGCTGTTTTTGTTGCTGTGTAGAACGTGTCAGCCTGTTTTTTGGTTTTTTTCCCTTTTTTTTTTTTTTGGCCTGGAGACGACCAAGGGCAGCGTTTTCCACAAGCACGAGCTTTGCATACCGCCAGAGCAACAACAATAACATCGGCAGCAAAAAATGTCGTTCTTTTTGTTTCGAGTTTGCAACTTTAATTGCTGTGTACTCAGCTTGATTTATTAGCGAATTGTTTTATACGACCAACAGCAACAGCAAACAGAAGAGTAAGAAACGAGTAACCTGTGAGTCATATACGAGTATATACAATATACATTCGCATATAGCTTGGGATTAACATTAACAGCCCGCCGATATCGCCAACACCATCGGCTGGCAAATTGAAAGTTTCGCCATGCCAATTAAAGAACGCATCGGACATTGATTTGGCAACGGGCTGAAAGATGCAACCAACCTGCGCCTATATAATTTAGCATGACCAATGGTATTATTTGGCTCGATCTGGGCAAATTACATACGACCGATGCGAACCGATCCGTTGACGACTTCATATATGGGCAATCTTGGGGTTCTTTGTGTCGTTGGCGCAAAAGTGTGAACTCGGCACAGCAGATCGGGAAAAGCAATAACCACGTTTGATTGAGGCATTGCACTGGGAAAAGTCTGGCCAAGATGCCAAGCCAAACAGGCTGCAGTCGTTCTGGTGGTGATGCGTCTGCTTCTGATGCTGCTGCAGCAGCTAATTTCTATAATCAGGCACACGTACATATAATATCGCCACTAAAGCACTGTTATTAGGATAATCAAATGGATATTATCGCAGCCAGCGATCCGGCCAAAGCAGCGATCCAGCGAACCATCGATCGGGCTTGGTTATGCCAGCCGTCCACCGATCCCTGAATACCCTTCCTTGAGGTGGCAGTGACTACTTCTAGGATAATTTCAGAAACTTAATAATAATTAGTTATAAGCTACGGCTGATCTTGATGTTTGAGTATACAATACAGATTTTTGTATGTTAGAGCATTCGCTAACCTCCCAACCCCTAGTTACCTAGGGTTTCCTCTCGACTCTCGTCTTGATTTGGCCTAATCCATCTCGGCGTGCAATGAACTGACCTACTGTTGGCCAACCAGCTTGCAACACTGATGTTGCTGCCGCTGTTGCTGTTGCTGCTGCATAATCAAAAATAATTCCACATACAAACAAGCCCCGAGGGCCAGCGACTTGCGACTCTTTGGGGAGCTGCAGCCAATATTAATGATAATAATAAGAATAAGTGCGCCCCAAACAATTGCAACGTGCCTGCCCCCTTTGGGTAGTACCCCTTGCCCCTCCCCCGCTGGAAACTACAAAAAACACCCGCTGCGAGGATATGGGGATCCGTCGGATCCGTCGATCCCAAGCGATCGGTCGGACAACTGGAATGGGATGGGATAGTATAGGATAGGATCGGATCGGATCGGATCGGATCGATGGAGTAACCGGCAGCATTGGCGCACATAAATCTCACTTGGTGTCTGCTAAATTATACACTGCCAGACATTTAGGCTACACTTTTAGCCCGGCCAAAAGCCGAGGTGAGCCGGCCCGAGCCGTTGATCGATCTTTTTAGCTCTGGGACAAAAGTTTAACGCGATTGTTTATGATACAAATTAAACAATTTATGACAATGCAGAAGTCCCAGTCGCAGTTGCAGTCGCCGCCCCGCAGCCCCGCAGCACCCCTTACCGCAACATTTTGGCCAGCTCTTTGGTCTTGGCCATATGCAAAGTTGGCCCGAAGGCCGCGAGCCATGAATGGTGGTTCCTGGGCTGAGTGTTGCAGTGGTGGTCAGAGGTTCTGAGGCGGCTCCTTCTTTCTCTCTTCTCGCTGGCTGGTGTTTCATAAATTATAACGCAGCTTTTCCGCAAATTTGCGCGGCAGCCACAGAGGATGAAACAAAAAAAAGATAAAATGAAAAAGAAAAACACCTCAAAAACAACGTCATTTATTACGAATTTTGATCGCTTCTGGTCGCGGCTTAGTCGGTTAATCTTCGTTATAAATTTGGGCCATAATTGATTTAATGCAGCATTTAACTTGATGCGCCGCACAGCGAGAGTTTATTAAATTCTTAACCCCTTTTTCCTGTGCTTTCCTTTCAGCATCCCGCATGCCCTCCACCCATGCCTCGCCCCAAGTGTGCCGGCCGCACTTCCACACCCCGCTGAGTCCCTGGCTGACCAGCGAGCACAAGTCCTTCGCCCCCGCCAGCGCCTGGAGCATGGGCCAGTTCGCCTGCCCCCAGGAGCCGCAGGTGGAGCACAAGCTGGGCCAGATGGGCCAGAGCCACCAGACGACGGCCGCCGGCCAGCACTCGTTCCCCTTCCCGCCGACGCCGCCAAAGGACTCCACGCCCGACTCCGTGCAAACCGGTCCATCCGAGTACCAGGTGAGTGGAATCGACGACTTATCGATATGCCTAGCGGCACCATCGAGCCATCGCCGATTATTTCGATCACCAAAGCTTCTTAATGGCAAATACAGCAGATACAACCTAACCTCTTAAATACTTGAGTTAAACGAGCATTTAGGCTTAATGAAACCCCTCATATTCAACATTGTATCCCGATCTCTTGCAGGCCGTGATGAACGCGTTCATGCACCAGCAGGCCACGGGCTCTACCTCACTAACGGACGCCAGCTGTGCGCTGGACATCAAGCCGTCTATCCAGAACGGCAGTGCGAGCGGATCCTCCGGCAGCGGCACCACCCACACGTCGACGCCCAAGCAGCGCGAAGGTACAGCCAGCTCCACTAATTCCAGCTCCAACTCTAGCAGCAGTCAGCAGCAGCAGCAGCAGCAGCAACAGCAGCAACAGCAGCAGCAACAGCAGCAGCAGCAGAGTAGCAGCAACACCACCGCCAGCAGCAACACATCCGCCTCGTCCGCCGCCGCAGCAGCATCCCTGTCCGCCGCCGTAGCCGCCTCCGCAGCCACATCCTCGAACGGATTGTTCGACGGAACGGCGCAGGCGTACAGCAGCGGGGGTGGTGGAGGCGGCGGCGGCGGCGGGGGCAGCGGCAGCGGTGGCTACGACACCAGCAGCTATGCCTCCTATCACCATGCGGCGGCGCATCATCAAGCGGCCGCGGTGGCGGCGGCGAATATGTTCCAAAGTTCCTCGGTGGCCGCGGCTGCAGTGCGTCACAGCATGGCCGCGGCACAGGCGCAGGCGCAGGCGCACCACCATCACCACCACCACCACAGTGGACACCATCACGGCGGCAGCTCGTCCGGACTGCATGGGCTGGGCGGCTCGGTGGGCGGTACCGCCGGCATGGGCAGCCTGAGCGGCAACAGCGGCGGCGCGGGCTCGCTGAGCGGGCACAGTGGCGCCGGTAGCAATGCGGGCAGAAATTGCCTGGACGTCAAGCCCGTGCGGACCAAGCCGCGGACCAGTGCTGGTAAGCAAGACAAAAGCTTTAGACATTATGCGATCTCGGTGTGGGTGAATAATCATTGTTACTCGCCATCGATTGTTTAAACATTCAATTATTATTACGTCAGTGTTGTGTGTGTGCACTGGGACTGCCTACAAATATGCATTATGTGTATTAACATTACAATCCGTTCAGTTTGTGAAACAAAATGCATTGCTTAAGCATTAGATAAGGCCTTTTTGTATGCAGTCTCCGAGTGAACCACTTATTGTTTAGTTTTCACTTTAGTTTTAGTTATTATTTTGAATATCCCCCATTCCTGCCACCACCACCACCACCACCCCCGCTCACTTTGATTGCCACTGCTCTTTCACACGCTCACGTGGGAAGACCGAATGTGAATCCGCGTCCGAACTCTTTACCACTTAACTCCCGCTCTAAAAACCAGAGGGGAAGCCCCCAACCCCTGCCCCATTGCCAAGCCATTCCCCACTTGACATGTGCTCGGGAGCAGCATGCTGGCCACATTCCCGCCACTTGAGCATGTTTCCTGCCTGCGCTGGCCGCGTAAAAATATGCAGAAAGATCCCAGGGCAAGGGCCCTTCCTCCGCTGATGTTGCGTATACGCGGTGTATGCGCTTGCCATGAAATCAGCACATTACAATGACAACAACGGCAACAACAATAGCTGCAACTGCGGCAGCAACTTCAATGCTATTGTCAACGCTTTGCTCGGCTCCACTGGCTCATGATGTTGCTGCTGCTGTTGTTGTGGTTGTTAATTACTTCATGTTGCTGCTGCCTCTGTTGCTGCCTCTGCTGCTGCTTCTGCTGCTGCTGCTGCTGCTGCTGCTGCTGTTTGAAAAGACCCACCACACAAACAAGCACACACATTCATTCGCATTCGCTGCGGAAGTTGCAGGCTGCTGCACCTGCTTTAGCGTTGCGTTTTTGCATGGCCCGACAGCAGCAGCAACAACAGCAACAACGACATCTTTATAGCTGCCACTTGGGCCGTGCGTGAGGGTCGGTCCGCTGCTGCCACAGCCAACCCCCAAAAAGAAGCAGCGAAACCAGCTAAGGAAAACCAGCTGGCAAAGGCACACACAACAGCAACATTAGTCACAGCGGCGATATTAGCCATTCCAGCAATATAAGCCGCAGCAACAACTCTGTTGCCAACTTCTGTTCGGGAATAGGTATGTGAGGCAGCCGCTTTTGGACTGAAAATTAACTTTATTATGGAGAAAGCGTGTTAATATGCGTGCAGCAGCAAAAGGACAATTATCTGTTGATACAGCAGGGGAGGAATGGTGAAACCAGCTAAGTAGCAAGCAGCAAGTGCAACATTGCGGCGTTGCAACATCCAAAAGCACAGCAGCAGCAACAACTGTTGACGCCGTCTAACCTCTGTTAAGGGCAAATTGTTAGGCACTTGCCGCACACTTTTCGCACCACCACTGCAATTGTTCGTTTGTTACAACACAAAGAGCACACCTTGCTTTCCAGCTGCACCCACCAAATGCAAATAGATCCGTAGCCATATGAGCCATATAATCATGACTGTATAACAGCCGCAAATGAGGAAGCCAAAGGCAGAAAAGCAAAAAAAAACAGAAATACCTGAAGCCGCAGAAGACGCCTGACAAAACGCTTGCAGATTTTATTTTATTTCATTCTCCTGGCTCGGCGACAGTTTCTTCTTTTTTCTGTATTTTCCTTTTAGCCTGGCCTTAACTAACCAAGAGGGAGAGAGGAAAAAAATGAGAAAAAACATTGTCTACCTTCGTTAGTCCCGGCAGCATCTTGTTGCCTGTATTTATTTATCGTTTATCGCATCGCTGGCGATAAGTTTTTCGGGCGCAAGAACATGTGTTGTGGCTTTTGTGGCTCGTTGCCACTGCAAGTTGGCCAGGGAATTGATTGGATGCCATTTGGGCTTTTGTCAGGTGAAAATAAAAAATGTTGTGAATGAGCTTTAAGTAATTGATATGGGTACGGACACTGGACACTCGCAGCTCGCAGCTCGCAACCCGGGACCTTCATCTTTCGATTGTGGGTTATGGGATATGGAATCCCCGATCCGCACAGATCTCCCGATCCTCTTGCATACCTCACTTCACTCAATCAGGGGGCTTAAAGCCCGAACAGCGAGCATTGTTCCTTTGTCCGCGCTTTGACAGCTGTGGCCTCAAAATGAGGCGCTTGCCATTTATTTGCGGCATGCACCCCCAATCCCCTGCAAGCCCCATAAGCCCGATAACGCCCCTTAACCACTAAACCACCGCAATTTATAACCCCTTTTTCGATACAGGCAGCGTGCCAATTATTCATACTAGGCGCATACTTTTCATTTTGCCCTGCCACCTTTGTTCAATTTAATTAATTTATTCATTCGTTGTTCTTTTCGAGTATTTTATGCATTTTCATTTTGGAATTTTTGTTTTGGAAATTTTCAAAATAAACAACAGCAGCAACAACTACTATTTACTCACACATCCATGTGTCTTTTGTCTTGCTCACCAGTAATTGTCTCTATCTTAACTATCCTAACCAGCCCATAAATCTGTATATTACTCCAAACAACTAATTAAAACGGAGATTCTCAGGATCTCTGTCTGTCTCAATGTGCTGCCCACATGCATGAAAAGTCCAACAAATTAACGAGAAAAAGGTACAACACATAAATTCTAGACAATTATGGCCCACTGACGCCAAATGTCAAATCAAGCAGCAACAGTTAGTTGGACCTTTAGACCCCGGACTACAACGGCCAAGAGAAGAAGGCTGCCAAATCAGGCCCTAAAAACAGGTTCAGTTTCGGTTTCGGTTTCAGTTTCAGTTTGGATTTGGGTTTGGGTTCGGGATGGGGTTCGGTCATTTTTTTCCTCTTATTTTTGGGACCCAGACAATGTCACACCGTAAAAAACAAACGCAGACGAAGAAATACCAAAGTGTGCACAAATTTCCAGGAAATTACAGCCAGATGACTGGGCCCATGGACCACAGAAGATGATGTAAGTGGTGGGGGGAGGTACGAGTATAGGTGGAAAACAGTTATAAGCAGGCTACTAAATCATAGACCAACCTGCTACGTGTCTCTCTGGAAAATGAAAATGAATAAAAAACGAGTATATAAATAAAAAAAAACAGGGGAGGGACAAGCCACAAGAGTGGAGGCAAATTGAAACCAAAACAAAGCCGAGGGAAAATCTAAAACAAATGCCTGTTGGCCATAAAACACAGTCACACACAGCCCAGGATCGCTATAAATAGGAATCGAATCAAAATGTAGTTAAAACCAAGAATTCCCAGTGCGCGTGCGCAGCAGCCAACTTCGGTTTGGGTTTGGGACTTTATTCCCTTTCAATTTCGGCCAACTTGGTGCTTCTGCTGCTGCTGCTGCTGCCTTTTTGTGTTGTCAAAAGTGGGCACATAGGGTAAAAACATCATTAACACGTTTGATTTATTAACTGCCGAGTGGTTATTCCGATTGGCTGAGGAGCCCCGCCACTTTCCGGGAAGCTGAAAAACCCCATAGAAATCAAGCAACAATGGCTAGCCACACTTTATGGCTTAATATGCAACTTGCATGGGGGAGTTCTCCTTTTATGCTAAATGCTAACCTTCCGTTGTTCTGCTTTATGACAAACTAATAAATGCATAAAGTTTTCAATTTCCAACTGCTTCTGTTCGAGGCGCAAACCGAAGACAGATGTTGGCCATAAATATGCATGACTGGGGCAGGTGAAAATTTATGGCTAGAGAATGATACAAAAAAAAACAAAAAAGCATAGGAAACGCACAGAAATTCGCAATTTCTCGCTTCTCGAGAGACAAACACCAGAACTTTTCTTCTCCCTGCCTTAATTTATGCACTTTTAATTCAGTGGGTGTTGCTCCACTGATTGGCGGCACTTTTGTGCCGAAACAAAAAAAACCAAGAAGGAAAACACGCCCTGCGGCAATTAAAAAGTGCCATAAAAACCAAACAAAAATCCACGAAAAATAAACCAAGGCAGCACAAACTTGCGATTAAATGAAAACAAATGAACTGTTTATTTAACGCGCCTGGAGCAGTTCACCAAAAAAAAAAACAGACCAAAGAGATTACTTTACCACATGCTGTTGTCGCAGAGTTGGGGGAAAACACGCAGAGCGCTTTATTTAATTTCTTTGAAAGCTCAGAAACAAAATGCCTGGCATGCCAAGAGACAGGACGCCACAGGACTCCGCAGGACACGTGTGACAATAGCTGCGTGAACCAAATCACGTGAGGCAAACCGCCCGAAAAATGAAATTAAAGCCCGGTTCTGTCATCAAAACGCAACTGGAATTCCCCTAATGGCATTTCAGCAGGCGACCGGTTGACAAACGCACTTAATGAGATCCTAACCTTTTGGTTTTCTGCTCTGTTCTGCTTTCTTTTTTTTTTGTTTTGGGCGCACCTTTGGCCAGTGGCTAATATTCAATAAAAAGTTATGCTCATGTGGCCATGTAAAAAGGTTGGCTTAATTAATTACGCCAGAGCTACCAAAAAGTAGCGTTAAATCTTTCAGTTTTCTTTTTAGCATAGCTAATGGGGGGAGTTTCGGGGGAGTGACTTTATGACTAAATTTCAATTTCAAAACAAGCGCACAACAAACAACATAGACACGAAGCATTAAACGCAAAAAAAAAAACAAACCGAAATAATGAAGCCCATTTAGTGGCGTCATTAAATGAGTGAATGGGGGAAAAGTTGGGGGTGTTCCAAAGAGAAAACTCTGGCCCCAAAGAAGACAACTGTAATATGGAACGTTAATAACGCGTTACATTTGCAACTTCATCTCGCTCCCTCGGGTCAAATCAACTCTGCTTACAAATTATGACTAAACTTATTCAAATGAGGCTGACTTACAGTTAGCCCTAGGGTGCAAGCGAGTGGGCTAGCTCCGGTTAGAGAGAGAGGGAGTCGCCCCGAACTGCAGTCACTAGAACGGAGCCGCTGTCGCTGCTTAATTAAAATGTGTAAAGTCAGCACAGGCAATGCGGGACAGAGACGGAAGCAGGCCCCGCGAAAGAGACGGGGCTACACAGCCGACCCCAGCGAATCCATCATTTCCGCTTCCATGCGTTTGCCCAGCAACCCAAAAAAAAAAAGAAAAGGAATGAGTAAGGGCAAGAAAAAACTAAGGAAAAATACAGCACAACCAAGCAACATACACACAAAAAACAAAAGACATCAAAATGACTGAGAAACAGCTGAAAAATGTTGCCCTCTACTACTACAAATACTACTGTTGTTGTTGCTGCCGCTGCTGTGCATCATGTCGTTGTCGCGCGCTTTGGGTTAACATTAACCCATACAAATGTGCGGATGGCAGTCCCCCAAGAAAGTTCGCCAACACAATCGCCCAAGAATGCGACACGGAGAAAAATAATATCCCCATTAAAGCCATTTTTTCAGGTCACATTGTACACATCATTAGTGTCTGCAACTAATACTTTAATTACAATACGAGTTTGCTGCAAAGTAATATGTGTATTTCTCCATTTAGACTGTAACTAATCATCTATAATATTAGAGCGAATTTCATCTGTGCGAAACTCCATTAAATTTTTGCATATTCTGTGTAATTTTTGCAGAGGGACGCGAGTGTGTGAATTGTGGCGCCACATCGACGCCACTGTGGCGACGCGATGGAACGGGACACTATCTGTGCAACGCCTGTGGCCTGTACTACAAAATGAACGGCCAGAACCGACCGCTGATTAAGCCAAAGCGAAGACTGGTAAGTTAAATAGTTAAATAGTAGATAAGCGGATATATGCGACCCGCTGGGCCAAGCATCCACACATTCGATCAAATTAACTAATAAATTCAGCAACTGTATTGGGGAATGGGGCGCAGTTCCTGGGAAATCGCTGCACATGAGCATCAATCTCTGGCCACGTTTCTGTCGCCAAAGGCCATAAAAAGCAGCGTGAAAGTTCTCAAATGTCATAATACGATTCCGGGAACCAGAAACTCTTTACGTTTCCCTGATTGGAGCTGTTTTTGGAGCGGTTGGCGGGGAGTTTGGGTATGGGTATGGGAAAAATGCTTTCGATTTGGATGCTGGCTGATAACGATCGAGGTGCATCATCATTATCACTTAGCGCACTAAAAACATAATCAGACAGCAGCCGGAGTTTGTGTGTGGGTTAGGGGCTATGCTTTTTTATCGAGCTGGATCATCAGCAAACTATGAAAATATCTGTAACCTTGTCGCGGTCAGGTTCGTTCTTCGTTTGCTTGTCGTTTTATTTCGTTGGCGCCAGTACGCAACGAAACGAAAGACTTAGGCAACGAACGCGAAGAGGCCAGCCACACGAAAAATTGGTCTATTAAAGATGCGTAAAAAGGCAGGCAACAACCATAACAACACGGCCACAAACAAACAAACTGTTAAACACTGCCTTCGCGTGGCTTGGCGTTGATTTTTTATTGGCATTTAAATCGTATGCGTTTTGATTGCATAACATTACCATAAATAAACCATTATTATCCCCGCTGATCCCCGCTGACGTAGGGAATTCCCAAGAAATTCACAGCTGGATCCCATCCGAATCCCAGCCATCCGACCGACCAGCTCCACTCGCAGATCGACGAGTGTTTGGCCTTTGGAAGTTTTTCGTTGACAAAATATGCAACAAATTAAAATTTATGTGGCACTCAGCTGACTTATGGACCGAATGTCGAGCCACTCACTCCTTTCACTCCGGTCGCACAGGATGCGGCCCATCAACTTCAAATGTCCTTAGCTGCTTGAAATGCAATTCAATTGTGTTTGCCGGCCTTCGCCGAGGGCTGACCATTGAAATCACAGTGAATTGGCCCCGAAACTCTTTGGGTGGCAATTGTATTGATCTTCGGACGAGAGGCGAGGGTCAAGTTGTGCATGGATTCGGCTTGGATTTCTCTTGGCTTTTGCTGGCGATCTTTGCATACGTTGCTGATGCGCTGCTGCACCTGCAGCTAAAAGGGGGCGGGGAACCGGTCCTCATTGTCTGCTTTGGGGCCGCCTTTAATTAAATTTCCGAATTGTATGAAAACAGTCAACAAGTCGTTACTCTTCGAGCGCAAAACACAGCAATATTCTCTTTATCTGTGCTGTGTTGTGTTGTGTTGTGTTGGATTTTTGTTTGCTTGTATATATCTCTTCGAACCCCGAGCGCTTGGAAACAGAACAATGCAAATTTTTAATTTATGTATTTTAGCCCGCAACTCAGTTTCAGTTTCGGTTTCAGCTTGCTGTTTTCTGTTTTCAGTTGCCGGCCCCGTTCGCTTACATATGTTTTTCCAGTTGTTCCGCCGTTGTTCTGCTGCTCCTTTGTTGTTGCTGAACTCTGGCTAAGCAGCCCGCTGGCGTCGCAATAATTGCATTTAATTATAAGGCCCGAAAACTTTTATAAGCGTTAAAGTTTCGTTTTGTATTCGCTTTTAGCCGCCAGGCTGCCCCTGCCCTTACTCAGCTGCCATTCAAAAGCAGCCAAGCCTTTACATTTGCAGCCTTGAGTGGCATTTGTCACATTTGTCAGATAGCGCAGATCGAAGTGGTAGAAAAATAACATATATTTTCAACAGATATCGGTCGAACATAAATATGATAACCTACCTTAATTTCCAACAATCATTTCCGATTACAACACCTCAAAAGCACTCAGTGTCTCTAGCTAATTGCCAATCCATGTTTAAAAGCCGCAAATCCGCAAATCCGCAAAGAACACTAAACTTTAGCTGGGGTCAATCGCAGTCAACAGGCAGCTGCTCATCTCGCCGATCGTGACTTATATAATCAGGGGGCTTTGAGGGGGGCCGAAAAGGGGCGAGACTCGGCGCTTGCATTTTGCATAATATTTATGCCTCAGTTGCTGCCAGCTTAATTTATGCGAATTTTCACACAGTAAATTGAACAAAACGACGGCCACGTCATGGCAAAAAAAAATGAAACAAAAACAAAGTAGCAAAGTAGCAGCAAAGTTAAAAATTATTTATTCTTACGCTTATTACATTGGCTTATGTCACATTTGCATGTCGCTGCTTTGAGCGTTACCAAGAAAAGCGCTGTCGATTGCCATTTGGAAATCGTTAGCAACAATAAACCCATCAACACTTGACACAATCGTTTATGAATGCATTTGGAGAATAGAGCTTAATTAATTATTAATCCGCGGGCGTATATCAACGCTAACAGCTCAACAGCCAGCGGTTAAAGCCATAAACCAGGCTTAAACGATCGCAGCGGGCCAACGAATTTTGTGGCCAACCCACTGAGAAGCTGAGAAAGAGAGAGCCACAGTGAAAACGAAAGAGACCCATAGAGAGAGAGAGAGAGAGAGAGAGGGGAAAACTAATTAACACATTTTGGGGCCAGCTGTGGCATCTCGGGTTCCCCGTGGGAAAATCGAATCGATTGTAGGCTGTGACGCTCAAAAATTAAATGCACAAGGGCAGACGATCGATAATCGAACGACAGCCAAATCAAAACTAAAGCAGATCGAAGGGGAAAAAAGCTAAAATCACGAAAAAGGAGGCAAGCTGGCAAAAAAGTTCAATGTACGTTACTCCTTTTGGCCTCTTCATCATGATGATCATGGAACGCAGCCAACGGGGCGTATACGCAATCGCGGGCATTAAGCTTGTTTTGCTCGGTGTTTTTGCTTTTTTTTGCCCCCTTTTCGGTTTTGCTTATTCTTATTTGGGGCGCTAGGAGATCTTGTTAAGTGGGGGCCTAATGTTATTAAAATGCACTTGGGGCCACAAAAGCGAGCTGACGAACCTGATCGGCAAAAAAAAGGGAATGCAGCCGCGCAGATCAATTAAAAATTAACGATACGAAGCGCAACGCAACGCAAAAACGGGGCGTGCCAATAATAATAATGAAAGAGGCTCAAACCAGGGCTCAAATGTTGCTGCAGCCCAGCCAAAGGGTTGCCCTGCGATGATTAAGGCCAAGCCAGTCTTGTGTCCTGTCTTTTTACCTCTCATTTTGTTTCAGCTCTTTTTATATATTATATATATTTTTGTTGTATTATTTAGTAAGCTCGTTAAGCGGGAATTCAGCAGTTTTTGAGCTGCTTTCGCTTTTGCTCGCCCTCCCTTTCCATCGTCAAAATTTATGGTGACTGTTTAATATGCAAATGCATAATTTTGCACAGGTTACAGCACACCCCAACAGCGCCCCCACCAGAAAAGGGTTGCTTATGCATTTTCTAACCCTTTTCGTTTTTATTTACAGACAATGAACACGCAGTTAGCTGGGTTTCAGCGGGGCGAGGGGGTGGTGCGCGTGTCTAGCGCACATTCATTTTGGTCAGCCACTGACCACGAGGCTCCACCTTGCCTCTTGGCCGGCTCCATAATTTATTTAGGTTCGCGCTGCCCCCATTCAATGGCCAGTGACAAATATTAATGACGATTTTCATGCCTTCCAATGGGAGCTAGTGTTGCGGGAGGCGGGGTGGGGGTTGTCTATTGCAACTATAGTTGACTTTAAATGCAAGTCACTGCACTAAAAGAAAATGCAGTAACTAAAACAAGGGATATCTATCATACCATATCTTCTTGGTAAGCTATTTTATTTAGCTTTAAATTCATTTAAAATGCTAAATTCATATGTTTGCACAAAATACCTGCCAATTTCTCCCTGTTTAGGGTCAAAAACTGGCAGCCACTGTTGCTGCTTAAAATGCACAACAAAGGCACGTTGACATTTTAGCATTTCCATGGGGCAAGAAAGCGAATGTCCGTCCGTTTGTTTGTAAGCCTCCCCAGTAAAAGCCACAGTCTGGATCGTAAAATTCATTGAGCAGCATTAATGAGCGACATTAATGGCTTGTTCTGTTTGCTGGCCATATAACATTTTATTGATTTTTTATAACCAACTCCTCTCCGCAGGGGCAGGTGTGATTTTTAGCAACAGTTTCGTGCCAGGTCGCAGCTTGAGCATGGAAATGAGTTAAGCTGATGTTTTAATTAGTCAAATTAGCTGCAGGGAAAGCCACAAACCAAACTGAGTCACGCCCACTGGCCGCCCCTCAACCGGGAACCCTTATAGTAAAAATACGTAGAGAAGTAACTGAAAAGGCAAAAAGGAGACCATTAAATTTGAATTTTTAAATTAAATTTCACAGTCAGAGATATGCGCTCACCGTTCTGAATGTAACTGCCATGTGCCAGACGCAAACTCAACAAACCCCATTTTGTCCCCACATTTTTTCCGCACCCACCCAATGTACAGCATCAGATATAGAAATTTTCTGCCCCGCTATCTTTAGTTATCTTCCCTTGATATACATACACATACATATATATATATATATATGTGTAAGTGGGAGTGGGTGGCTCCAAAACAACCCCCAGATTGAGGGGGCAGCCATGCGCTGTGAGCCAAGTTAAGGGTAGACTGAAAAGCGACTGGGAAAAATTTAATGAATGTTTTGTCAGATAACACAGATACAGATACAGATACATCCAAGTGCTGGGGCAGAAGATACTGAGAAGCGAGCTGCAGAGCTGCCCCAAGTGAAAGATGTTACACTGAGATACGGATATAACATTCACTGGGCAGAAACTCGTCCTTCCTCATCCTTAACACCCCAAAGACCCCCATCTTTTCCCACTTTTTCACCAGCATCTTGACTGTGTCCCGGCTCGTATCTCAGATGGCAAAGGGCATTGCCACTGAACGGCGACTCAAAAAGAGAGCGCACAAAAGCTGCGCAATAAATAGCAGTGTAGAGGGGGAGAATCTATTTACTCGGTACATATTTACTTAGCCTTAGCCACCCGTTTCCGCCCCTCAAAATCCACTGGATTCTTTAGCTCTGTGTTTCACTTACAATTAAATATTTAAATGCCTGTGTTTGTGTGGGTTTTTTTTTTCTTTTTTTTGTGTGAAATGAAAACGAAATTTGCATAACATCACAAAAGCAAAGAAAACCTCGGCGATAAGAAGACGAGTCGACCATTTTGTGAGCTTTATTTTGAAAATATATAAATCACACAAAGCGCAGCAAAAGGTGTCAAATGTGCGCCCGTCAGCAGAGCGAAAGAGAGCGATATTAAAGCCAAGAAAGAGACAACGAATGCCGTGGAGTATAACAATGCAAACGCATTTTGTCATGCATTGATAAATCACAATTTATGGCCACAACACTGAAAACCACAATGCCAGCGGAAAAACAACACAGGCCACAATGGTAGCAATTTAATTTCAGTTGAGAGATATTTTTAATATTATAAATTGAAAGATTGTTAAGACAATGCTTATGTATTAAATTGAAAATAGTTTTAGAGCACATTTAAGTTTGTTGAATTCAAGGTTACTTCAAGCAGGAAAACGTATGATATCATATGATATACAGCATGGGGATTTCTGGGATAGTATTTACTCTCTTTTATGTTGCGGCACATGAAACATTCCTTGTGTGTCTCTTGCTTTTGTTTAATAATCGCAAGCGCCATCTTGTTTTGGGTGTTTGCTGTCGCTGTTGTTGTTGCTGTTGTTGTTTTGGCGCTTGCGCTTTTTGCATTTCAATTAAACCCCAAACGCCTGTCAATGTCTGACAGTTTGTCAATTTTCCCATCAAAACCCCCGCCCCCGAGAAGTCAATTATGCCCCTCTCGCTCGCACTTTGCATGCAGGCGAAGTGACATTGATTTATGCGATTTGCCGGTCGATTGTTGGGTCCGTGATTGTGGTACTTACTGTACCTTATGTTGTGTTACACTGCATTTCGCTGCGTTACGTCAGTGCACAGAATCAATGTGACACTGTTGGGCAACAGAAGTTGCTGGAGCTTTAAACGCACACCCACCGAATGGGAATGGAATGCCAAAGTGTGATCCTGTTTTTTGCTGCTCCTCGAACTGTTTTGTTGCATTGTCATGTTAACAACTTAATTTATATACGCTTAAGCATTTCGGCCAAGTTGTCGTTCGGGGCTGCGAGAGAGACTGCAGCATAATTACCACAAAACTTCCAGTTTATCTTCACCCATCGCTCCCCTCGTAGGCGTTGAAATTAATTTTGAATCTCTCACTTTTCGCATTTGTTGGCCCGGCATTTCGGTCCGCGTGCGCTGTCTGCAGAAATTGTTACAAGCTCGTTAACACAAGACAGTGCCACCAAAAAAAATGCAGACACCACACCAGTTCAGCACAGCTCCCTTGCCATATGACCTCTGATTTATGTTAATCGCCAAATCGGGAACAGGTGAGACACACCGAGCAGATCAGAGCAGCGCAGAGCAGAGCACAGCCAAACAAAACTGATCGAGATCGAAATCGAGATCGAGCTGCAGATCGAAGTTGAATTCAAACTCTGCGGAGACGAAGGCGATTCCCTTGTGGCAGAGCAACAATTAAAAATCAAAGTCAAACATGATCAACGCCAGTTTAAGGCCTCGTAGCCATGTGTTGTACCAGCAGCATGAACAAGCCAAACTGGAAGGCTGCACCGAGCGAAATACCAGGGGTTCTTAAAGATATATCATAGAGTTTTCTAACACATGCACCATTTCAATCAAATTTGAGCCCAATTGATATATGTTCCTATTTTCCTTTAAATATAGTGCATAGCTTTTGAAATAAGGTTCTATGCCAAAGATACTTTTCAGTGCATTTATAGAGGGGGCCATGCCAACCGAAGACCAAAACGCAGACAAAGTCTGTACTTCAGAAATGGGGGGAGGGATCAGGAACAGAGGCTGGGGTTTTGGGGCTCTCGATTCTTGGCTCTTGCTGCTCGATGCTCGATTCTTGATTCTCTGGGCTCGTTGCTCGATTCTCGATTCTTGGTTCTTGGTTCTGGGTTCTTGTAGCCAATTCGTGGAAATTTAAGCGTGGCACAGACATGATCCCAGCTTGTTGCTGTTGTTGCCGCTGTTGTTTTTGGGCAGTTTTGTAAAAATTGTCATTTTAATGAATTGATGCTGCTGTTAACCCAAGTCGAACGCAAGGCAGCCACAATTCTGTGTCCCCGTCTCCGGAGTTTCAGAGTTCTTTGGGCTCAAGACTCTTGCGTTTATTTATTTTTTTTCTTTATATTTGGTATGCCATCTAAAAAATGTTGTTGCCCGGTGTGTTAAGCAACTTTGTTTTGGGAGTTGAGGCTGAATCGTGGGGAGGGGCCACATTTCTTGTTCGTGTGGCTGACTTTTGTGCGTTAGTTTTGGCGCTGTTCAATTAGCCGTCGTGGTTGCAGCATTAGCATAATACTCCATACGGATATGAAAAATACATAAAAATAACCATAGTTTTGGCCACAATCTAACCCTTTTTCGTATTATTTCCTCCATTTACAGACCCTGCAATCGCTGCAGAGTGCGGCCAAAAGGGCGGGCACATCCTGCGCCAACTGCAAGACCACAACCACAACCCTTTGGCGACGCAATGCCAGCGGCGAACCCGTGTGCAACGCCTGCGGATTGTACTACAAGCTTCACAATGTAAGTATCTGCAGCTTGAAGAAAGATATATTTTGTAAAGCATTTTTAGGGAAAAGCAATTGCGGATCTCCGTTAGTGTTCAGATAAGATCCATGCAGCTTATTCCTGATTTTATTGCTAACATATAGTTTGCTTTTGATTTATCAGTGTACATCTATTAGCCTGCGAAAGCACCCCACTGCATATTGATTTTCGATCCGCGCGATTTATCGCCGCATTTAACATCGGAATCGGACACTCTTCTCTGTTTGGCGGACAGGAAGCGCACGCAGCCGGGGATTAAATGTGACTAAAATGAAGTGTCTGGGAAAAGGGCCGCCCCCTTTTCCGTTTTCCGGCCACCCCAGGGGGTTGACTGCCGTTTAGCTTCCACATTTGTTGCCGCAGCAGGTTGCTGTATTGTTACCCTCATGATGATGAATGCCTGATGATTATTTAAAGATGCCAGTTAGCCACCACCCACACACACAACGCCCAGCTACTTGGTATCGCGCGATAAGCGTCTGGTGTTTGGCTGTGAAAATGCGATAAGCTTTCACCCGATTTCCCAGTTATGGGCAACGCGTGGCAGGATGCTAGAAGATCTCTCCCTTTGCGGAGTTAATTTATGTAATCGACTACCCGGCTAACTGCATTCAATTGAATCATGTTTAGACCAGCCATACCCCTCAGAGTCTCTTATTAAATATTCATTAGCCACGCTTTTCAGGGGATAAGCTCAAGTTTTTCCCCCACCACCTCAAGGTTTTCCTGCCTTTTCTCGGTTGGTGTCGTTTTTTTGGGGTTTGTTTTTCTTTTTATTTTGCCTTTTTTGTTTCGTGGCCTGCAGTCAAGTTTTAATGAGTTTTGCGGTTGAACTTTTGGCACATTTACATGTCAGTGGCCCTTAAGTGATGGGCCACCTGTCTGGCCCACTGTGCCGCACAGTGGCTGTGTGGCTGTGTGGCAAATTAATTAAGTTGCGACCGCAACTTGTGGCCACTTGCAAGCAAAGCGGCTGCATTTCGATGGCAATCGGCAAAGGCGAAATATTTTTAATTGAGCCCGTCCATAAAAGGCAAATATCAAAGAGCGAGCATGGCACACACTCGCACATTTGCTCTATTTTCCGTAATCTGATTTACACAAAGTAAAAACTTTTCCGACATACGAGAAAATGCACTTTGGGTGGCTGAAAAGGCGAAATTTATTTTTGCAAAAATTTTCCTTCAATTGGACAGTGGCCCATCTCGATAAGATGCCAATCAGCGCGCATTTTTGCCATTGCCATCTCTGTCTGCCCCTCTCTACCTCTCTGCCTCTCTCGCTCTCTCTGTCTCTCTCTCTCTTTCCCCACCTCATTCGCTGTCTCTTTCTTTATGCTAGTGGCTTTGGTTGCTTTTCTGGCTTTCAGTTCATTTCAATTCAATTCGTTTGTCATTTCGAACTGTGCCGCCTGTGTGGGCCTCTAACCAAAGTGATTGGCACATTTTATGGAAATGTTGCAGGCACTTGGCAGAGCACTAGTACAGTGGGGCTTGCCTATGGAGCTTAGCGAATAACCAGAGCAATTGTACACTAGTTTAGCAGACTACTTTTGTAATAACTCATTGGATTAAAAGCACATGCACCTTTTATTTGATTCCTGTCGTTCGACAGTCGATGATGCAAATATAAATTATAGATGGTACATGCCGCTCGTTAAAAACCCACAACCACTGTAATCTAGAAAACACTCGTTTCTGTATCAGCATTTTCCTCATTTCTGGATATGCACTTGCTACACAGATCTTGATTGCTTATCTTCCATCTGCGCGTGTCTGCCTGGGAATTCCTTGAAATCGAAGTGGTATATCTTTGGGAATCAGCATGTTAATTAACGGCAAATGAGACAATTGTTGGCCATACCAAATAGTCCTGGTCCTTTGTGACCTGCTGAGCAATGTCCTGCGGCGCAGTGACAATGTAGAAAATATGTTGGAAATCATAAAGGTTACCTAACGGTGCCTGGCGCCGCTCTGGTGTCGCCTGGCTCCGAATTCCTAGCTCTCTCTTGTTATCCTGCGGATCGGATCTCGGCTATATATCTCCCACATGGGTGTGGTCTGTGGGTGGGCTGATGCACTGGCTCCGTTCTCCCGGCGGCTGTCAAGTTGCCAGTCAGCTGCAGCGGCGCGTGTTCGCTCCACGCTCGATTTAGATTTTATGCATAAAAAAGTTAATCTGCTGAGCTGATGCTGATGCTGATGCTGCTTCTGCTGCTGCTGTGATGTGATGTGCTCCCCTTTTGGGGGAAGGGGGGAGGCTTTCCTCTGAATTCCTTAATGAGCTAGGCCTGGGCATTAACAACTTTATGCTTTGTTGCTGCATATCAATTAAAGCTCAAGAGATTCGCAGCTGCCGTCGAGTTGCTAATTGCCGCAATTTGCGCTAAACGCTAGAGAGACTATCAATTACGTGGGCTGCCCTGAGATCCTCCCATCTCCTCTGTATACCACGGGGTTTCCTTAGTTTTGTATATATATATATATATATTGCACATATTGTACTGTAAGTGATATGTTTTTGTTGTCGAATCAACCCTCCGCCGAATCTCGGCTCTTCAAAGTGCTCGCTCGGCAATTTAACAATTTCAGTATTTGCTTTTTCGAGGGCACAATCAAAAAAGAGGCACCAACAATGTCGTAATTCACGCCCAGGTAGCCCTTGGTCCTTTGTAATGTTACTTTTTTTTTATATATTTTTGGATGGTGGCTTCCCCGTCGGCTTTTGTTGCTAATGTTGCTGCTGCTGCTGCTGGGAATGGGTAACCCAATATTGTAATTGTAGCGCAATGAAGCGCATGCTGCCGCTTAGATGTTCGCAAGTGATAAGGAGTTGCATATGAAGAGAGCCCAACAATGGCCAAGGGAATCGCTGTGCTGCAGCAGCACAGCCGCAGCAGCAGAGGCAGCAGCAACAAACGCTTCAAGTAAAAATATACTAAACAGGGGGAAAAAACGGAAAAAACATTACCCGGGTGCCGTTGGGAGCGCTATCAGCGCCAACTAATCGCATTCGCAAATGTCGCTTATCTGATCGTGTAGAAATGCTTGTAATACTTCATTTTCACTTCCCGGTTGCACTCACTCACACCGAAGCATAGGGGAGACACACACACAACCACCCCTGTCTCACACAGACAGCGTGTGCAGCTAGCGGCATTTCCGGTCCATGAATTTGCATAAATTTGACCCATTTTAGTGGTCAGTCGCTGACTATTTTCGCCCTCTATTCGGCTCGTTTTTAGTTTATTGATTTTCCACCAGCACGCAGGATAAGGAAAACCTTAAGAAAACTAAATCATTAGCACAGTAATTGAAAAATCAAATGCATAATCATAAAATTTGGATTTTAAATAGTGCCAATGCATATTCTTTACTGAAGTAATTCCCGATATAGATGATATATGCCAGTGCACCACAGCCGTTCCTAACCAAATATATTTCCTAATTTTTCCAGGTCAATCGTCCACTCACCATGAAAAAGGAGGGCATTCAGACGCGTAATCGCAAGCTGAGCTCCAAGTCCAAGAAGAAGAAGGGTCTCGGTGGTGGCTGCCTGCCAATCGGTGGCCACTTGGGCATGGGTGACTTCAAGCCGCTGGATCCCTCGAAGGGATTCGGCGGTGGCTTCTCCGCCTCCATGGGTAAGCATCTTTAAAGAGCCGCGTGCAATGTCCTTGGCGTTGGAGTAACTAACTTTGGTTCTTCCCCCATTCTCTTCGCTCTTTCCAGCACAACATGGACACCTCTCAGGCGGACTGCATCCGGCACATGCGCACATGCACGGCAGCTGGTACACCGGCGGCATGGGCGCTTTGGGAGCCTCGAGCGGACTGCAGGGCGGCTTCTCCACCGCCGGCTCTCTCAGCGGAGCGGTGGTGCCCCACTCGCAGCCCTACCACTTGGGTCTCAGTTCGATGGTGAGTAGAAGAGAATTCTTATACGAGTGGCAGCTTTGTGGGGAAAGCTTTTCGCACAGAGAAAAATGAAGTAGCTAACAAAATAAATGTAATGCATTTAAACAGTACATATTTATGCTGGGGGCGGAGCAACAAGTAGACATTTTAAAAATGCTAAGCAAGGAATATCTGGCATTCTAATATACACTCTTTGAATATCAATGAAATGAATCAGTATTTAAACTTAAACAAGCTTATATTCTATTATTTGAAACTAGCTTTTTCCTGATAAATATGGACCCTTTTCTCTGTGCAAACTTTTGTGCGGATTCCTACTGCTGAATTTTACTAACCTTCCACCTGGACCTTTCTCCACCTTTCCCCCCAGGGCACCTGGCGCACTGACTACACGTGATGGAGCGGGAACAACCTGAACAACAATCTGTTCAGTTAGAGCCGCAAACTTGCCCCACGCCTGAATCGAATTCTTCGAGCAGCAAATGGAGATGGAGGTGGCCTGGAGACACAACCAAGCAAGACAACAAGAAGTAAACTGACAAAACACAATGCCAAACTGAGGACTCCTTGGCCAGCAATTGACAGTGGCACCGAGCCCTTGACATCCCAGCAAAATAAATAATAATCCAATGGAGTGTGGGTGGTGTGGCAAACTGGACGAACGCTGGCTATTCCTAATTGTAAACATTGCGTGCAATTTTTAATTATTTAAGCTTTGTCGCTGTTGTTGCTGCTGATGTTGTTTGTTGTTTGGCGAGGCAAAAGCCAAAAGGCGAGAGCCGGCAGCAATAACAAAAGCCCCATTAAAATTAATTAAAGGGCTGCACATTACTTTTATTTTATTTTTCCTTTATGGCTTTTCTGTGAGTGTTTGTATAGTGTTTCCTTATGTTTCATATTTCGCTTAATTAATTTAATTTCTCGCCGCAAATTCAGCGTATTTAATTGTGCTTTATGAACTGCCATAAAAACAGAATGAGTGAATGCGAGGGGAAATTTCATAAATATTTATTGTGTACATATAACAGAAAACGAGAATCAAGCACACAGAGAACTAAAATTATTATATACAATAAACAATAAACAGTTACAATGCACGTCCAAAAATAAACATTTTTGTATAAATTAAAAGATAAAAGAAAAGATCGTAGATGTAAGTGAAGTTGCTTGTCCTAATTCGCAAAATGCAATTGAAAATTGCACAAATACTTTAGAGCGTATGCCTACTGTAAACTAGTAAAATTCTTAGACTCTAAACAAAACAGACGTGATAAACAAAAAGTAAAATCTATATATAAATATTAACATAACAAATTTCACTAGGGCGCGCCAGTAGCAATTGTAAAATAAATTTAACATTAATATTACAGTTAAGGAGGAGAAAGATCTTTTTGATTGAAAGCAAAGGCCGCCGTCAACTTTTAAAACTAAAAACACACACTTAAATGTTCAATGTTAATGCCTAAGTCTTAAAACTATACACACATAAACATTAAAAACGTACATAGACTTAAACGTAATGTAATAAATTTAATTAAATTAAATGTTAAAGGCAATTTGTAAAATACATTTGTTAGCAATTTTTGTATAATTATAGTAAAAACAAGAGAAGAAAAAACACAAAAAAAGAAGATACAACTAAACATAAAAGTAATCCCCTAAGTTGTGTGTATAAAGCCAGATTAGTCCTAACCTAATTTATGTATGTTTATAAACAGAATACGATATGTAAAACTATATATATATAAATATGATGTATTATGTGCTAAGTGTAAACGATAAATGTATTGTAATTTGGCCATATTGATAGTTGAATATATATAAATCAAAGCAAAACTAATGTTTATTTAAAATCGAAACAAAAAAAATGGAAAATTGTATTAAATTTAATGGCAATCACCAGAAAAATCCACAAAAAAAATCACAAAAATAAATAAAAATAATTTATGAAGAAAAAAATATATATAAAAATACAGAAAAAAAACACAAAAACGATTCTAATTGAGGAACGGTAACTGAAGGCTCCGCCGATGATTAATTGCTTTCAGATGAGTGGGCAGAAAATCGAAATTGGTTTGGTAATAAATCCAATAAGCTGGCATCCAAAACCCGGCCCGCAATGATGTCTCTATAATGGCCATTTATGCTTATGAATTGCCCTTTAAATTTCGATGCGTCTTTGCTACACAAGAAACGTGCCTTGATTTCCTCAATTTTGGATACTCTTGGCCTATGTTGGTCATTTGTTATGCAGCATTTGTTGCTGGCCATTGAACGCATGAATTATGAGTTGTTTGGAGGCGTGAAATGGCATGTTCGTAGCGCAGTTGTGGTGTTTCGGTGATGTGCCATAAGAACACAGTTCGTTGTCTAAGTCTTTTGTTTTACCGGGCTTTGATGGCCGGGCCTGAATGATGGGCCAGGAAAACTCCCAAGCGGACGCGTGTTAGCCGGCCATTAATCCGGCATCCAGTCGAGCAAACTGCAGTGATGACCCCTTTTGGGCCTTTGTCACTTGGCATCCGCTTCCGCTGCACCTTGCCAAGGTTTTTGTTTCGACTTATTTCGTTATCAGTTTTCCCAATTGCAAACAATAAAATAAATGCGAACCTATCGACTGAGTATATCTCTGGGCATTGAAATAATTGGGACAGCAATTAGGTGCACGGCACGGCCACGCAGTCAAGCAGGTCCGATCCGTTCAGTTATTGAAATATATAGCCATGGTGGGACAGTCCGTGAATGGAGTGTAAGTAATGGCAGAGTACGCTAACTAATATTATTTGTGATTCAAAAACATATTTAAAAGATTTACTTTACGTCTATCATAAGATAAGATCTCACAGCATGCGAATTGGACGTTGGTGACTTATCCAGCTGAGTAACTCGTATTAAGAGTATTAAGAATAATACCAGCACGTTGCCTTACAGCTCCGAAACGCACTGTACTTATATGGGCCTGATTCGTCAGCATCACATGAGCTTAACGTGCTAGGCACTGTCCTCTGTCATTATAACAAAGTTAACCGAAAACAAAGTAAAATGAAAAAGGTAAACCTAATTGCTATATAATTACAAAATAATTGAAACAAAATAAGTCATTCGAGCCGGTGCCTTGGAAATTACCCCAAACCCAAACGGCCAACAGACACATGCAAATGTGTCGCACAGGTCACGAGTCAATTGTAATGGTAACCGAAACTGTTAGTCTAATTCCAATACCAAAATTCGAGTGAGTCCATCAGACGAAAAAATACGGTGATCAATGCATAAGCAATGACCAGCCATATAAATCAGTTAATCAGCATCGCAGATAAGCGTGGCAGTGGGCATATGTTCAGCCAATGGGAAACCAATTCACACACCGATACACACTCGCCACGGGATGATAATGGGGCACGCCACCTGAAACCAGTTGTGGAACATGCAACAAACGACATAAATAAACCGCACTAAATATGAACGTAAATCAATGGGTCTATCTATGGGATTGGGCTTCGGATTGATATAGGGATCGGGTTGTTGTTGGCCAAATGGATGTGGATGGGGTAGGTCTATTAGGGTAAGCTCTGCTCTCTGCTGGGCCCATTAAATATTTCTGGCGACCCCTGCATTAACTAATTAGTTAAAGTCAAACCACAGCAACTGAATTTATGATTTGAGCAAATCGAAGAATATAAATGTTTTGCAAAATGTATAGAATCTGGAAAGGCGAAATTAAGATGATCCATTTGTTCTTATCTCCTGTTTCTCTTGTGAAAGGTTCCTTTTTTTTCTATGCATACTTAAAAAGCTAATATGTTGTTATCTAACCAGTCTATTTGCTTAGTTTGGTCTTAAGCATCAATTATAGTGCATTAATTCCAGCGAATCAGTGATTAAACAGCTGAATAGAAATCGAATTTGCCTGAGTGCTGGCTCCTCGCACTCAAGACAGCAGCAAATATTTGGCCATGCATTAACTAATTAGTGACAACGAGGACGAGGAGCCAGGGAACAATGCTCCTCCGACCACGTCCTCGACCACTTCCTCATTGTCCTGGCGGTCGGAGGTCCTCCTCCCTTCTGCTGTGGATTTCGTAATTCCGTTTGTGTTTCAGTTTCAGTTCGTGCGTTTCGGCTGCGTGTTTATCTGATTGGAAATGTGCACCCAACAATGGCGACACACAGATACAAACACACACACACACACACACACAAAACACTTCTTTAGATGATTAGCTGCGATAGCCAGGTTATGGCTTCTACCATTCGATTCGATTTAAATGAATTTTAATACCGATCCAAGAGCAGCGAGCCTCGATTGCAATTCAATTTAGATGGTAACAAACATTATAATCTGTGGGGGTGACTTCCATTAGCCGTATTTATCATTGGACACCAGCGCATCAATGGGGATTCGGTTTTGGTTTGGGTTGGGCTTAGGGCTTTGGGTTTTGGGAATTGGGTGCTCGGTCAAGTCGGCTGTTAAATGTAATTGGTTCTCGCGCTGGTTGGCTGTTCCTGGCATTCTGGCATTCTGGCTTTCTGGCCATTCCAATAATTTTACAAAAGCTGCCACAGTTTCAATTAAATTTCCGTTATCACACGCTCACAAACAGTTGCATCCCATTCGCAGAGCTGGCGCTTAGTCAAACGATTGTTTGGCTGTGATAGCACCTACAACTCATTGCCCTAATTAGAATTATTCTAATGAAATTAAATTGCACAAATTGCATTTGCTCGAGCGCTCGGGCGGTGCGGGGTGGGAATTAATTATAGAAATTGCCATATGCCCGGCCATATGCAGCTCTGTCATAATTTGTTTTACATTCGCACAATCAACTGATTAACGTAATGAGTTTTCTGCCTCGCTCTGGCCGAACGAACAATTTCATTCCACTGCGTTTCTCAGCTAATTTGATTAAATTAGGCACGGATGCCACTGCCACTGGAACAGAAACTGCAACTGCAACTGCAACCGTAACTGCATCTCGTTTTGGCCCATGCAATGTCATCACATGTCCAGCGCCCAACTCCAAACATGGCCAATGGTCCAATGGTGCTGTGGCTCCGAGCCTGGTCATATCAAATGCTTAATGGCAACGGCCCATGTCAATTCGTGGCATATTAAATAGGAAAATTGGCATTGGCAATTGCAACAGATATTAGTTACCTCGTTGGCTTCAATGGGAGGATCAGGGCAAGGCAGGATATTCCTAGACTGTGTAGGTAGGCCTATGAGTGCCACGGAATGGCATACAGGCTACATACTCAGCAGTTGCCACAGTGGATGCAAGTCAATGTTCAGTTGTAAATAAATCCTTATATATTTCATTCTACAAGCAAATAGAATATTATGAAAATTTGAATTAGGGTGAAAGGGATGATTAGAAAGGTAAGAAACAGGATCGAAGAATGGCGATGTTGAATATGAGCAAAATTCACGGATGAAGCGGCCTAATCCCGATTCGTTAGGGTTGGTTAGTTTGTCCAGAACCTCTGGGTTGAGAACCTTTTGCACCACTGTCCAGAACCGGCGCTATCTGGGAGTGCGATCAATTTGTCGCTTGATTGTGTGCGTTTTGCATGCCACATGCAACGAGGCTTTGCCTTTTTAGCCTGGCTTTAATCCAAACTCTTGGCCAGTGCTTGCAGTTGGTCCAGCCAGATGGAGTAGGAGATGACGATGGAGGCTGTGGAGAGGTTAACTGGCCTTTGGGTTAGTTGTTGACAACCAGCCAGTGGCCATATTTGTGTATTATTGTTAAGCAAACGCACAAAACACAAAAGCCCAAGAAACGCACAAAAACCAAACGGGACGAGGCTAAAGAAGAGCCTGGCAAATATGACAAAGGCACATAAATTCGGTAGCTCTGCGAGTGGCAGGGATTCTATAAATACGATGAACACAAAAACCGAGGGAAAAACATGCAACATGTTGCCCGTCTGTCTGGCCAAGATGCGGTGAAAATTTGTGTCGTCATCCCGGCCAAAAGTGTCAAATTTCACGCAACATGATGCGCTAAATGTGGCCAGAAACTGGCTCCTCTGTTGCCAACTCCTGGCAAATCCCTTTGCCCCTACTGGCTGCAACTCCACACAGTTGCATGTTTATTGTAAATATTATGAAATGTTGATACCTGCGATTGCTGGTCTTCTGGTCTTCTGTTCTTCTGGCCAGGCTTCTGCCTCGGGAGAATTTATTGATGCTGCACGATAAATGCGCTTTGAGCATGGCCAAGAAGCTGTCCTGCGAACACGGAGGCATAAATTTCCATTTCCCGAGAATTATGTCACAACGAATTATTGTTCCCGACATAATATCTTGTGTAATTACTCCAGGCAAGGTGATAAGCTGGCAACCTTTCATAGCCAATTGCGGGGAAAGTTGGCTGA